GTATGTATGTATGTATGTATGTATGTATGTATGTATGTATGTATGTATGTATGCATGTATGTATGTATGTATATATGTATATATATAAATTCTCAGGCAACATTTAAATTGATTGGAAGAGTCTAGTAAAACTAATAACCCTGACTTCTATCTAATATATGTATATTGTATAATATATCAACACAATCTAGGATTGCAGATGAAGCTAATTCCTGGCCCATAAGGATCATTCTGGAAATTTCTTCTGATTGAAATCATCTTCCAATCAACCCAGGTTCAGAGTAAATGGACCCCACTAAACCTTAACACAACTTGAAAACAGAAAACAATATGGGATTTTTTTTAAGTGCTCTGAAGAAAACAGAATTAGCAAAGACTAATTACAAAACCCAAGTGCTGTCTGGCAGAAAGTTTGATGAGCACAATCTCTCTTGAAAAAGAGTATGTTTTTTCACACTTTTGAACAAATCTAAAATAGGAGTTTTGTTAATAAATAATCGAGTAATGCTGAGCTTGCATGAAATATAAAGCATGAAAATTTTTGAAGCATGCACGACTTTCACAGGTAAGTCTTTTCAGGTTGAAAGGAAATTAAATAAATGGAATTTAGAGAAAAAGATTTAGTTCTTAGGGTTGAGGTCTACTAAACTAGAACTTTGTCTTAGTTTTATCATTTGGCATACCATGGGGATATATTCAACCTGAAAAGAAATTGTGTTGCATTGTGAAAACAATATAGGAATAAGCCTATTGTTTGGAACAGGACAGAAGGGAAATATAACAAAAGAGTGGTGCATGAATGACATTACAGCTGTTGCTAACTCAACAAATTTGTTGATAAAGTTGGATTCACATAGAAATACAATTTACTTTGTACAATATAGAATAATGCTTTTGTTGCTAAGAGAGAAGAATGTAAGATAATATACTGTTCTGATACATTGTGGTACTGAAAGAAATTTACTGTTATTTGTCTTTAAACCGCCTAAGAAATAAAAAGAGTAAGTTGGAAGGAAAGGTGAAATACAAATTTTCCTTCTAATCTGAACATCTATTTTAATTTGTGAGAAAAATATGAATTACTGTTTTTAAAATCACATTACTAAGTTAATGAGAAATTCACCACATTAAAAACTCATCAGCAATATAAATAAGTTATGTTCATAGCAGATGATCTGGTGTTATATGCCCATCAGTCTTTTTTACATAACTAGTAAGACTTAGATTCACTCCATATCTTTAAAAGAGGCAGTTATACAACAAAATTATCTTGATATACTTGAAGGTTCAGAGTACTGGAAAAAAATCAAATTGTGGCAGTGAAATAACAAAAAAAAACCATAGTATAGACTCTCATGTGAATTACCAAAACTTGCATGTAAAGTTGTCTGAATAGGCTATAGGGATTATATTGGAAATTATATATATATATATTCAGATGTTTGTCTGTATTTTCTATATTAACTAGACTGATTTCAGATTGGAAAAAAGAAAAATCTGAATGTGTTTGCATACTATGATCCACAAAAGCAGGACTTTTGCCCAGATTATTTCAGCATCGTGATCCAAGTTTGTGCTTAGACATAACAAATAGCTATCTACTCACCTAAGTTTTTGGTTATACTGTTTTACTTTTTCCAATGAAGCTGCATTAATCTGGGCTTGAAATTCTTCTACTGATACATTGTCTCTATAATAATATCCTTCCATACTTTCCAAGGCTATAAAAGAATGCAAAGGAAACAAAACAGATTCATATCAATCTGTGCCATTGATTTATTTTTTCCAGTTTTCCTATATATCTAGATACTGTAATTCTCAGGATATGATATTGACTTTCTGCGCTGACACAAGCACACATAGGACTGAAATGTACATGGTCATATTACCTAAAATAAAATCATTCCTGAAGGAAATATTTTCTCTTCAGTACAAAGATATCAGAAGCGTGTGCTTTTCTGTACCTTTAAATTAGAGAAGGTATTCAGCAGGTTCTGACCAGTTCTGCAGAACCAGTAGCGGAAATTTTGAGTAGTTTGGAGTACCAGAAAATACCACCTCTGACTGGCCCTGCCCCCTCTATTCTCTGCCTCCCAAGTCCCAGCTGATCGGGAGGAAATGGGGATTTTGCAGTAACCTTCCCCTGGAGTGGGGAGGGAATGGAGATTTTAGAGTATCCTTCCCCTGCCATGCCCACCAAACCATGCCCACAGAACCGGTAGTAAAAAAAATTGAATCCCGCCACTGCTTTAAATATTTCACTTTTCATAGAGGACATACACGTTCCTATAGGACATCCTCAAGTTAAACACATAAGATTAGACCAGTGTTTTTCAACCTTGGCAATAGCAATAGCAATAGCAGTAGACTTATATACCGCTTCATAGGGCTTTCAGCCCTCTCTAAGCGGTTTACAGAGAGTCAGCATATTGCCCCCAACAATCTGGGTCCTCATTTTACCCACCTCGGAAGGATGGAAGGCTGAGTCAACCCTGAGCGGTGAGATTTGAACCACTGAACTGCTGATCTAGCAGTAGCCTGCAGTGCTGCATTTAACCACTGCACCACCTTGGCATTCGCTGGCTGGGGAATTCTGGGAGTTGAAGTCCGGACATCTTCAAGTTGCCAAGGTTGAAAAACACTGGATTAGACTAACCTAAGTAACTGCGATAGCCTTTTTCAATTCAGTAACACGTTTGTTCTTTATTTATTACAAGAGTTTATATTATGTTCAGGATAAAATTCATTAAAAAACCCATATAAACATGGTCTTTACTGGCAAAATTTGAAAACAAATGTTAAACTTTTAGATCAGTGTTTCTCAAATCTGACAACTTTAATGAGGATGGATTTCAGCTTCCACAATTCACCAAAAGCACACATTTTTAAAAGAAACATTTGTACATCTTAGTAAATTCGAATATGCAAGAAGATATCTATCTAGACAGAATTGTACAAACAAATGAATATATTAAAGACAAAGGTAGACATTGATAAGATAAGTGCAATAAAATATTCAAATGTGTAGAATAACATTCATACATTTTACTTATGCCGGATGTGATTTTCTCCAAAATAATGCTGTATCCATGAATACTTCAGAATGCTAGTAACTGTGTATTACTTTTACTATAACTTTTAAAAACTGTTAAGAATAGGTGAACTTGAAAATGTTTTACCTTGTGCAAATAGAACTGGGTAAAGTTTAAAACCTCCACCATTTTTCAGCCTTTGAGGAAGCTGTTCAAAACTGTAACTATCAAGATAAAAATAAATTTTCATAGCTTGCCGACTTCCTTCTGCTTGATATGTGAATGGCATATCTAAAAATAAAATAAAATAACTTTTTAGTCAAAATTATCAATCCAAAGTTTTTGGGTATTTCTTGCAAAGATTTACAAATATTTGGAAAAAGTAAAACTAAATCAATAATCAACCAAAATATCACAATTAATCCTTGTGATGCCATAGGATATATAGTACACATTAAAAATCTATATTGACCCACTATCTGAATGCCAAACATTGAATCCTTCTGCCACAATGTTTGTATAAGTAATACTAACATAAAATACTAATTTTATGACACACTATCATCACATAGTTAATTTCCTTACCTTGTACTGTTGGCTAAATATATGAAAATGCAGTGATAACATTCCACATTCTTCTGGAATAATGGGGATGTTAACAGGAAGCATTAATTGATTGGGTACAAATGAAGTCCCAATGAAAATACTAAATGGGACCATTTCAATTTTTAAAACATTTATTTAAAAAAAATACATACTTTTTAATGTCTAAAATCCTACAAGAATTCTTGCATATATATTAAAAGATTTCAGCCACTTTTAATTTTAACAATTTAGTGAAAATGTAATTCTCCAAATCAGGGAAAGACTCTATAGTTTCTTTTGTAAATACCATTACATTTCTAAGATAGCTTTAACGAAAAAAATGAAATCGTGACGGTATTCATACATTGTGTTCCTAGTGAGATTAGAATAAAAACTTGCTGCCCATCTTCTTTCTATTTTGTGCCTGGCGCCTAGCCTAATAATTATTTTTTCCACTCAAACTTGTACAAATGTCTACAACTATCATAAGTAACATTAAACCTACTGTCTTTGTGAGGTGCTATGAATAAAGAAATGGCATCAAGGTTGAAATAAATTGGAGAGCCAGTTTGGTATACAGATAAAGGTGTTGGCTTAGAAACCAAGAGATCATGAGTTTTAGTCCCACTTTAGGCATGAAAGTTGGCTGGGTGACCTTGGGCCAATCACATACTCTCAGTCCAACAGGCCAGTCAATCTCTCTCAGACAAACTCATCTCACAGGTTTCTTGTGGGGGGAAAAAAGGAGGAGGAAGGATTTTCCATCTTGAGTTATTTATGAAGTAAGAAAGGTGAGATAAATATTGTTTACCATCCTTATTACTGTTCTCCTCAAAATGAATATGCATAAGGATGCAAAGATGTTTACTACAAGCAAATATGACACAAATGAAAACGTGTAGTTATATATCCTCTTAATATTTTACAACAAATATTGAAAGGGGACAATACTCACTTGCTACTAAAGGTTCCTGTTCAGAATGTTTAAAATAAAATGTAACTTTCTCCAAGTCAAATAATGCAATCAATGTGTCTTCTAGCATAGCTTGTTCATCAGTCTGCAAATATATACATATAGATAGAATGTAGTAATCATGCTAGATTGATTATTATAAACATTAACTGCAGATGGTCATATCCTCTTTCACTGAAGCAATAAACTGACTCATCAGTAAATTAATATGGATTGACTTCTACTGAATTTTATTCCATCTTCTCTTGTCAAATTATTAGCAACAATGTATACAGAACCAAAAGTTAATTACTGTGTTGGCTGTATAATTTAATTACACAGAATTTTAATTGTTCAAATAAGTGAGCATATTTAAAATGTGTTACTACAAACCAAGCTACTTACACTGTCTTTTGTTACAATATACACTGAACACACTGAATAGAAAATGAACACTCTGAAAAGAAAGTGAAGTTTTGTATTAGTGTGGCTTCTAAAATAATTTGTAGTTTTCTCATGTTACTAACAAAGAAAACATTGACATACCGTGTTTTCCCGAAAATAAGACAGGGTCTTATTTTCTTTTGCCCCCACGAAATATGGCCTTGGGCTTATTATAGGGGGAGGGCTTATTGTTTTGGGGTTGCCGGGCAGCTGCTCCCTTGTGAGCGGGCTCCCGAAGAGCCAGGCACAGCCTCAGGGCGAAGCAACCATGAGGTGACCGCACTCATGAGCAGCTGCCCAGCAAACCCCCTCTCCAGCCGGGCAAAGCGCCATTCACTGACCTAGGGGGTATCTCTAAGGCGGCAAGTCTCGTGGCACTCTGCCCGCACCCCAGTTCCCGCAGCTTGTCACATTAGGGATACCCCTAGGTCAGTGCATGGAGCTCTGTCACGCTGGAGAGGAGGGTTGCGCGAGCGCCTGTTCTGTCCCCAGCAAGCATGCTTCCCAGCCTCACCATACCCTGGCCCAGCCGCTGCCGCCACCATGCTCCGAACATTGAATTTATTTAGGTATGCTCCCCACTCTCGGAAGACTCAGGGCGGCTTACAAATAAGAAGGGAAGGGGAATACAAAAAATAAAAACAATTTAAAAAATTGACTACGAAAAATTTCTGCTACCAGTTCTCCAGAACTGGTCAGAACCTGCTGAACACCACCTCTGTGCTGCAGTCCCCATCTTGTGAAATATTTTCCCCTTGGAGATTCGAATCGCTCCAACTCGTGGACTTTATTGCAAGGCTATAAAAACCTGGCTATTTACATTGCATAGAATATTAATTGTTCTTCAAGTAAATGAGCATATTTAAAATTTGTTACTGAAAACCAAGCTTAAGTGCTTACCCTGGCTTTGTAAGTTACAATATTTATATTGAAAAGGAAATTAAGTTCTGTATTGTGGCTTTTACTGCATACAATCTCTTCAAGATTTATCTGTCTACAACCCAGGCCCAGATTATTCTTGGATTTTTTTCCCTTTCTGTACAAGAATACATTTCTAAACAAACAACTAGGCCCGTGATGGTGAACCTATGGCACGTGTGCCAGAGGTGGCACACAGAACCTCTCTGTGGCCATACGTGCCAGAAACCCAAAGACTAGGTGGCCGTCGTGCACATGTTCACTGCCAGATGGTCTTTGGTTTTCTGGTGCTCCGGAACGCACACATTCCAATTGGGCACTCTGTGACGAAAAGGTTCACCATCACTGAACTAGGCTGAACCCACTTGACATTTTTCTTTTCCAGCAACATTTATTGTACACATGTGTGAGGTTGACACTTCATTTGTAGCTTGTCAAGATTTGTCTTTGCTAATCAAGATAACTGGTTGAAAATTAAGCTCAGTTAAAAAGGGAGCTGCTGGGTGTCAAGAGATCTCTGTGGACACATTGGTGGCCTGAAAGATCACGCTGGGGGAAACTGCTTCAAAATATAGGAATATATGATATAAAACCATAGATATCAAAAAGAATGACAACTCAGTATTATTTAAAAAGAAATATTTTATGATGGAATAAATTAAAAATATATAAATTTCAGTCAACAATTTTCAATAGCATTAACAACTACAATATGTCCATTCTAGACAGAATCCCTATGAGAGCTAGACTATACTCAATTTAATGACTAAGCTGTACCACCACTTTCATTGAAACTTAAGTGAAACTAAGTACCGTATTTTTCGGAGTATAAGACACATCAGAGTATAAGACGCATTTGTTTTTGAAGAGGCAAATTTTTAAAAAAGTTTTTGCATTCTGCAAACCTCTCAAAAATGGCCCATTTTTGTTTTTTGTTTTTTCTAAAAAAGTGGCATGCATAGCCTTTAAGAGGCTTATAGAGTGCACCTGGGGAATGGGGGCAAAATGAGCAAAAAATGGCCCGTTTTCCGCTCATTTTGCCCTTCCCTGCACCCAGGACCACCCTGGAAGCCTCCTAAAGGCTATGCACAGCCATTTGGGTGACGGGGCGGGGTTTCAGGAGGCCAAAAATGCTGCATTCAGTGTATAAAATGCACCCAGATTTTCACCCTCTTTTTTGAGGGAAAATGGTGCATCTTATACTCCGAAAAATACAGTATATTCAATCAAATGGATCCTGGTATCACAGGTTACAAAAGAAGTCCTGGCGAAAATTGGACTGAAGCCAAATCACATATACGAGAATAGTATTTTCACACGAGTGAGGGCTTAAGGATTATAGTTAATGGTACTATAGAGCCAGAAATGCTATGTCTAATAGTCTCAAACTTTTCCCAGTTCCGGCTTCAAAATTAAGAAAATGATCATAATTAGAAGCAACAAAAAGATATAAAAGGCTAGAAGTAATTTTGGATATTAATATGAACTAATTGGTTCTTTTACTTTGGCACATTATAGATTGTCACACATTCCACCAGATGTTCATACTGGATCTGGCATTTTTATCCACCTATCGAGATCTTCCCAAGGACTTAGGATAGGCTGGTGTTAATGTTTGATGGTGTTAAGAGATATCATTGAAGGATTATTATTAGTAATTGTTAAATTTATTTTCCACCTAGGTCACTCTGGAGGCTTCCTGATACAGTTGACTTATTGGTTTAATTTACCAAGTCTGTAGAATAATATAGAATGGTATCAATCAACATTCAACAGCATTTTTGAAAAATTGTTCTTTTACAAAATTTTATTTCAGGTTATGTTCAGGATAATAAAGAATTGGTCAATATTATATAGACATTCATAGGATTTCTCACCAGGTTTGGTGACAGCAGTGACTGGAAGTAAAGGAGAACACCTGCAGTAGATATCTGTTCCAACCATCTCCTACTGGCCTCTTGTGTTTCCATTTCACACTCCTTGCCATTGTCAAACATATGATTTAAGGCAGCCATTAATTGCTCTGAAAATGCACAAACTGTAGCAACTAGAGACTGGCAGAAGACCATGTCTCTCCTGAGCTGTATCTCACTATCTGAAAAGAGCATAATTAGAAAAATATATGAAAAATCATCTAAATTTATGAGAAAGTAAGCGTAATCCTAAGCACTGGTCTTGTTTTCTGGGAACAAAAATTGCTATTAAACACTAAATAATATATATACTTGTAATATATATACTTGTATACTTGTTCTTTTGATTGCACAGGCTGATGAAAGAAATTTCATGCTATAGAGTAAGCTTGTAGACTACAGGTACATCATAAAGGAATTTAATTATTAAATTATTCTACCTTAGTACACATCTAAGTCTCAAAAACACTATTTGCTGTGGAATCTTGTTTAATTTAAATGTGTATGCTATAATACTTTTTTATTCTGCATATACATCTAACACATATACACAAGTTAACCTACTGCCTTCTGTGTTATAAATTATCAGTTACCTCTTTATATCACAATCTTATACGTGCTTGTTCAGAAAGTCCAATAAGATTCATGGGTCTTTCTCGTTCATGTATCTATAGAGGAAGTCCTTGATAACAATCACTCATTCAGCAACTGTTCAGAGTTTTGATGGTGCTGAATAAAGGGAGCTTATGATGTTTCTACATAGTTGTAGCTATCACCACATTCTCGCGGCAGATGACCACAATTCAGCTGCTTGGCAACTGGTTCACAATAGCTTGGTAACAATATCATAACATCCTGTAGTCACATGATCACCATTTGCAACCTTCACTGTCAGCTTCTGACAAACAAAATCAATAGGGAAGCCAGAAGAATATGACATTCTTGCTTAATGACAAAGAATGATTTGCTTAACAATGGCAACTAGAAGTGCTGGTATTTCTGTCAGTAAGTAGTGCAGCCCCATGTCATCACTCTTTATGACTGATTCAGTTAGCGGTATACATTCTGGTCTCCATTGTTATTGTTAAATAAGAAGCACCTTTAAATGGATTTATGTGAAAGAATTTCCAGGTCATATTTATCATCTGTTCCTCAAAAATAAGTTGTAAGTCCAGAAGGTGTAACATTATCCAGATCAATTTAATTTCAATTACTAAATATTGAACTATTTTACTTTCTTACTTAAGTATCAATAAAAAGAATACTTGTAGCTCAGAGATGAACTGTGGGATTCTTTGTGATCTCTGACCTTGGTTGTTTTCCTACAGATGTTTCATTATCAACCCATACTCATGATGTACTTAGTTTGGTAATGAAACATCTGTAAGGAAACAATCAAGCACAAGGAGCACAAATGAAGACATTTACAAAAGTTGATCAACAGCTTTAAATAAAGATTACCTGTATATTCAAGAAGTGCCAGAAGGACTCTTGCTTTTACCTCTGGAAAAAGAAAAATAGAAGAACCTGAAGAGACAAAATCATGTTTGGCACTCAGGCCAAGGATGGATTGTCCCTTTCTATTCAACCTTAAATTTCTATTATTAAGTAATATGCCTTTCAATCAATAGGCAAAGGAACAACAAGTATCTTTATATCTTTCTATTCAATCAAAATGACATGGTTATCAATGAAATACAAAGACTATAACATATAGGTAAAATATTTATACCATCTAAAGAAAAATCAGAGAAACATTAAGTCCAGTAACATTATCAACAGCTTTGCCATCAAACACCATTTATTATTTCAGGAATAACTAGCTATAGTACAAGAAAAAATATTTAATCATATATGCCAATATGGCACAAAGACTCAGAAAACAGACTTAAGGACATAGCAAAACTGTTCAATGAAGGCTGGAATTTACCATGATTAATGTATAAAAAAATTGCTGTAACAATAAAAAATGTTCTCAGGCTAGAAGGAGAGACCTTGAGAGAGTTTGAAGCACTTATTCAAAACCAAGATCACCTATTGTCATATGTACAAATTATTAAAATATGAAAAGGTGATAAATCAAAAGTTGTACAAAGTGAATGCAAAAGTTCAAAGAAATAATCATAGTATAACAATGGGAAGAGCTATGAAAAAAGTCAATAAAATGTGTTTCAATTTATAATTTAAGGGAATATGAGTATAAAATGTTTTACAGATAGCATATACAGTAACATCATCAATAATTACCAAGATAGACAAATAAGCCAAAAAATATGTTGGAAATGCTACAACAAATAACATTATATTATTTATAGTGATTGTATAAAAAAATTCAGAAGTACTACAAATAAATACTTCAAAATATTTGGAAAATTTTAAAATTAAAATTGAACTGAAATCACAAATTTATATATTATGTACTATTCCAAAAAACATAAATGAAAAATACCACACTAGATATATGAGATAGATGCTAAAAGCTGCAAGAACAAATTTGGTAGAATACTGTAAAAGAGAAACTCCATGTAAAGTTCCCCAATCTGCACGCTACATGGTTGTATCTTAGCAAAGCAATAGCCTCCAGAAGGTTGGACAACTGGAACCTGAGAAAGTTTTCCATACTTGCTTCAGCCATAATTTTCACATTTCCTTTACTAATCACTTTAGGAAATTGTCTTATTAATTGTTTAAAAGAAATTAAATCTCTTCAAAATCATAAGTCTGGAAATGCTGGGTGAGTTTTTTGAGCCTTAATATAAGAAAATGAAGCCTTACCTTTATAAATTTTAAGAATATAAAATAAACAACAAAAAACAAGGTAAAGTTTTCACTATAGAAAATTTTTGATGAACTAAGGCAGGGGTCCCCAACCCCTATGCTGTGGCCCACTACCTATTCACAATTGGGTCACAGGCTGGCACACATGTGCACATGTACGTGCAACCTGACTCGTGTGAGTGGCATGTCAGCTTGCATGTGTATAGTTCAACTTGTAGTCAACCTGTGTGCGCATCTGCACACACTGACCCACACAAGTTGAGCTGCCCACATTCGTGTGCCAGCCTGCCACTCACACACCCAGTTCCCCTCTAACCCCTAGCCAGGCCACCAATCTGCAAAGGTTCAGAAAAAAATGGAATATTTGATTTTGAATATGACTTGAAAATTAATTTTTAAAAATAAATGCACATCAGAGACGTAACAAGACAGGCAACTTATAATGATGTTCAAAGGAACTTTTGAGGAATTGCATCAGGACTTTGAATCAATAATGTCAGCTGTGCTGGGTCTTCTCAGGAACCATTTGTTCCCAGAAGAAGCTATTACAGAAAAAGTAAAAGTCTGTCTGAGAACAAAGTGAACAAGAATTTGTCATTAGATATACAAGTGTATATATCAGATGGTGCTTTTAAGAAGGAAATAAAAATGTCAATTCCAGAAAGCTATTGGGATTATTTATTTTTGCTGGACTTACAAAAGAGGCTTTTGGAAATTCTGAAGTAATTCAAAACAAGGAATGATAATCATCTGAATGAATTAAAAAGCAAGATTGTTTTACATTTAAAAAAAAAGAAATACAATGTTGGTTTATTTGATCAGAATTCAAATGTTACTTTTATTTTATGTTCCATCCAAAAGACATGTTACATGTATTTTGGATGGTTTTCTTTGGATTTGCTGACATCTGTCCTGAAAAAAATGCTGTATTGGAAATGCTTACAATTAACAAGATGTTTAAGCATTTTTGCTCAAGTTACTTTATGTAACCTAATTTGAGAGCATTTAAATTGCCTTTGTGTTTAATGGTTCTTTTTATTTATTAAATGTATATTTATTTCACTATCCAAAGTGACTAAGTGGCTTACAATTCTCTTAAAAAGGGGGATTTTTGTGAGCTTGTTCTTGTTAAAGGGAAAAAAATCACTTTTTCCTATTAAATTTCAATCTATTATTCATACTAGATTACTGGAAACACTTTATATCATCTAAATGTGGATTTACTTATAGTTAAGAGCCGAGGTATGGAATGATCAATTTTATACTTGTTAATTAATATTTTTAGGGCTCCATTTTACTGACAAGTAGATTGGAGAAGATATTACTTATTAAATGTGGCTATAGATAAGATATGAATTATGAAATGAATTTTATATTTTAATTAAGAGAAGATGACTAGATAGTGAAATTGTTTATACTTGTGAAGAGGGTGGAAAGTCTCTTTCTTGGTTATTTTCCTTCTATTTTTCCTTTTTTGAAACATTTATTCTCTATTTCTATTTTTCTTTTTTAGTCTACTCTGCCTTTTAATAAAATTTTATTTTAAAAAAGATATCTCAGGCAAATGAAACCAAGAAAAGGAATCTGAAGAAAGGAAAACACAGCTTTCCGTTTCAGTTATTTCGTTAAAATCTGTTAGTACAGATTTTACATTACAGTTAAAATTTGTTTGTGTACAAATTTAGATTTATGTTTGTGCTCTCTCTCTTTCTCCTCTCACCTACCCGCTCATACACATAAATGTTTTGCATTAAGATAAATCATCTAGCAATAGACACATAAACATAAATCATATTTACACACCATTCAAAAGAGATAATAAAAAAAAACCTAAGAAGGAAACAAAAGGCCAGAACATAATCTCTCTAGCAGCCAACACCCAGATAAGCAGAAATTAACACCAGCAAACAATCAAGCAGAAGACAATATCCTAGTCATGAAACTTCCAAAGAAAAAAACACAACCCCCACAATACTGGGAGGGCAAGCTACTGTATATAAACAGAGTAATTCCCCATGCTCCAGTGGTGGGTTCCGGACGGTACAGCCTGGTACAGGTGTACCGGTGACAGCTGGGAGCAGTGGAGCACACCCATATTCCTTACCTGTTTTTGAGGGAAACTGGCCAATTGCACATGTATACACAGTGTGCGCTGCCTGCGTGACCTCACCAAGCAGCTGGGGCATTGCAGGGCAGTCGCATGCACATGCGTGTGCAGCATGTATGCCCGAGGTGGACGTCCGGCCCCATCACAGCGTACCGGTTGCAATGGGATCAGGAACCCACCACTGCCACACATACTTGCATTCATGATGATACTCAATTGGTTAATGAAACATCGGAGCATACAATAAGAGCTACTGTAGATGAATTACTAACCTTCAACAAATTTTCGGATGCTTTGAGAAAGGTTTTGAACACTGCTGGGGAGGTTCCAAGGATCTTGTTTAATATGAAGCCTCAGTTTCTTTGGGCAGTTCACCTTAAGTTCAATTTCTTGTTGAAATTCTAGGCAAAACCAGAATTATTAATTTTGCTACAATATTTCTACCTAATTGTAATACTTTTATAGCAATACTCCTTTCCAGTTGTACATTTGCAGAAGAATGCCATCCTAGCCTTGAAACATTGAATAGACCTTTACAAGTCTCCATAGACTTCCATATTTAGGAGACAATTCAGTTACACCTTGTTTTCTAAGTCAATTTTGGGTTGGGCGTTGCATTCATGCAACCGACATAAATATAATTTATTCATACCCAAAGAAGAATTTAAGATGATATTTCCTAAAAATAAAGAGCAGACAGAAAACAAAAAATATTTTTTTCCATTGTGTCAACATAAAATTGACAATTCAAATGAACTGAATCTTGCCATTTCTCTCCTTCCACAATATGTGTGTGTGTGTGTGTTTGTATGTATGTGTATATATGTATGTATGTATGTACGTATGTATGTGTGTGTGTGTGTATATATACATACATACATACATACATACATACATACATACATACATACGTTTGTGCATATATATCTGAATGAAAGTACCAGTACATATGGATATTAATGTTCACTTTTTTCACAATTTCTTCTACCACAGCAATCTGCATGCTAAAAAAGGCCCATAAATATTTA